AACCCAGTGACTTGGAGCGTGGTTTGGACCAGAGTCAGGTGAAACCTTTCTCTGGCCTTGCTTTGTGGTGTGTCTTCCAGCTTTCTGCGTTTACCTGGTTTCTGTGTGGGCCGCAGGAGTAACCAGCCGTTTCCTGTCTGGGGTCAGGCTGCGGTGTCCCAGCAGGTACAGGGGTCTCTGCCCCGAGATTGTGCCCATAATTCCTTTTTTAAAAAAAGATTTTATTTATTTGCAAGAGAGAGTGAGAGGGAGAGAGATCACGAGCAGGGGGAGTGGGAGAGGGAGAAGCAGGGTTCCCATGGAGCAGGGAGCCCAATGCGGGGCTCGATCCCAGGACCCTGAGATCATGACCTGAGCCGAAGGCAGATGCTTAACGACTGAGTCACCCAGGCGCCCCTGTGCCCATAATTCCTAAAGTGGCCTCTATGATTACATCTGATCTGTAATCAATCGGGGATTTTAATATCGAATAAGGGAAATTTTATGACAAATAAACAGAAGAAAACGAGTCCCCTTTGAAAATAGGTGGGCAGACACAAAGGCTCCTATTGCATGATTCCACGTACAGAAACATCCAGAACAAGTAAAAGAATAGGGAGAGAAAGCAGCTTAGGGGTTTCCAGGGTCTGGGCTGGGGGCGAAATGGGCAGGGGGGCTTCTGGTTCGGGGACTCCTTTGAGACATGAGATATTCCGCAGCAATCTTCTGTGGTGTGGTGGCACAGCGTTGGGAATGTACTTATGCTCATCACATGTTCAGTTGAAAACAAGTAATTTTATTTAAAACAAATAATAAACAGTATACAGAACATGAAAATGAACAATATGAACCAGAACAATATGAACCAGAGAGAAAGAACATAGGGGGAGGGGATGAAACAATCTGGCGGGGCGTCGGGGTCCGGCGATGGACCTAAGGGTAATTGTACAAGGAGCTCTCCCCGCAGGGCTGTGGGCTCTGGATGTGGCTCAGGGAGCCCTGCGGGAGCAGGAGTAGGGGCAGGGGTTGGGATAGGGGCAGGGCCAGGGGCAGGGCCAGGTGTAAGAGCAGGGCCAGGGGCAGGGGCAAGGGGAGGGATAGGATCAGCAGTCGTGGCAGGTGCAGGATCTAGGGCAGGACCTGGGTAAGGAGCAGGAACAGGAGCTCCGGCAGGCGCAGTGGCAGGGGCAGCGGCAGAAGGTCTGGCAGGGGAAGGGGCAGAAGCAGGAGCAGGAAAAGGAGCAGGAACAGGAGCTCAGGCAGGGGCAGGGGAAGGGGCAGCAGGTCTGGCAGGGGTAGGGTTATGAGCAGGAGCAGGGTCAGGGACAAGAACAGGAGCTCAGGAAGGGTCAGGGGAAGGGGCAGCGGAGTCTGGCAGGGGCAGGGAGAGGAGCAGGAGAAGGAGCAGGAACCGGAGCTCAGGCAGGGGAAGGGGCAGTGGCTCTGGCAGGGGCAGGGGAAGGGGTAGGGGGAGGATCAGGAGCTGGGTTGGAGCAGTGGCAGGTGCAGGATCCAGGGCAGGAGCTGGGTCAGGTGCAGGATCCAGGGCAGGAGCTGGGTCAGGGGCAGGAACAGTAGCAGGAGCTGGGTCTGGGGCAGGTGCCAGTTCTTCCTGGTCCACGTCAGGCTGTCTGTGGGTGGGTGCCGGGTCACCTGCCGGCTCCTGGTCTCCTCCTGCAGTCGCTGCAGGCACCACCCCTCCGTCCAGAGCTGCCGATGGAGTTGGAACCGGCTCTAGCTCCTCAGGTGGTGGAGCAGCTGTGAGAGGAGAAAAGCTCACCCCGAGCCCGCTCTCCGTGGGCCTTTGCGGAGACAGAACCCAGCCCAGGGCCTCCCAGAGAAGCCGCAGCCAGGAAGGAGCCCTCCCCGGGGCGTCTCCCCGACCGCAGTCCACCCGCTGGATGCTCTGCGCCCAGTCTTTGCTCCAGGCCCCACACCAGCCTCTGGGGGCTCGTCCCTGTGGGGCCAGAACCGACCCATCCCCACACACCACAAACACCCAGCCCCAGCCTTCTCACCCTCGGGCTCGGTCTCCGTGGGCTCCGGCTCCTGGACCACTGTCCGGTGACCAAGCACCTGGGACAGTGGTCGGGGTGGTGTTGGAGGTCTTGCCCGGCAATCCCCAGCACTTGTTTTGGGGGATGCCTGTGGGGTCAACCCCTCCGTCAGGGAGGAGGGCATGTCCGCCAGCCGCCTCGGGAGGTCATCTGTGGCCTTCTGCAAAGACAGGGACGGGTAGCCGGCTGGAGGCATCACAGCTCTGCCCGGCCATCCTCACTGTCCTGCCCAGTCCCCCTGCTGCTCCCAGATCAGACACAGACCTGTGAGTGCACAGCCCTGCACCCGGGATGCACTGACCCATCCCTGCAGGGCTATCGGGATAAACCCTGGGTAGAAGGGGCAGCGCCCGCACACCCCATCCCACACGGCCAGCCTTGACCTTGAACATGACCTGCCCACTGGGAATCTGACCCCTCATCAGTCTGCTCCTGCTCAGGGTGGCCCCACCCCGCATGACCCCTCTTTACACACACACACACACACACACACACAGAGAGACACACACGCACGCACACGCACACTCACACACAGACACGCACAGACACACACACACGGAGGGGGGCCTGGGGCTGCACAGGCAGATCAGAGCGTGTGGGGCTGGGTGGCAGGCTCTGGGCCTCCTGATGTCACCTTTCTGTCCTTCCGGCCAAATGGCCAGAGGCTGTGGGGAGCCCTGATTCGACATCCCCAGCGGGGGACAGTGTTTGCAGGGCGCTCTTTCTTCAGCCTGCAGCGTCCAGATTTGGGGAAGCAGCACCCGAACATGCTTTTTGTTGGAGGGTCTCCAAAGAAATGAGCTAGGCAGGGGGCTGTCTCTGGAATGTGGGTGCCTGGTTACCGGGGTTCCAAATTCTGTTGGGCTCTGTTGTCAGGGAAGTGAGGTCACCACTGCCTGGGGTCCCCTTACCCAACTTCCTCCTCACACAAGACCCCCGCCCGAGGGCCCCCTCCCCCGGCTGCTCAATGCTCCCCCTCCCCCCATGCCCCATCCATACAGTGACTCCCTCAAATGGTTCTAGTTAAGTTGACATTTCTAACCTGGTAGGAGTGAAGAGCAGATTGCTGCTGCACATCTTCAAGTGTGATATCGGTCATTTCATTTGGCATTAGTGTACAATGTATTTAGTGAATATCCACTCTCTACCAGGTAGTATAGATTGGTCTCTTTAATTCCGTGTTGACACCTTCTGAGCAGGAGCTTGGGAGTTAGGACAGATGCTGAATGGAAGACTCACACTTAATGTTTGTGATTCTTTCCTCTTATGTGTCATATGCATATACACACAAGATATGGTATATCTAGTAGTAAACCTTGGCATTCATTTAAATGATCACTTATCCTTTTCTATGCTGGTTGCCTAGGGGAATCTGATTGGATGCTCAGTCATAGTGTATCTTTCTCATATCTGATTTATATGTTTGGTTTTTTTCTCTTATTTTTCTTTCTATTTGATTAGTCTCATTAGAACTGTATTTTTTTAATTATAACTAATAATCCAAGGTTATTTTTGGTTAAGTGTGGAATATTAGTAAATTATTAGTAAAAATTAAGTACTCTACTGAACGCTAATCTCAGAAAACTCTGTTATGTAAGAACATTATGGTTATATTTTACTCACCAAGTTATTGAATTTTGCTAATAATTTAATATTTGCAAAGCAGTTTCAGAGACTATCAGTATAAAAAGATCATGTGAATTTCTAAATTTAGTTAAATGTTTTTAATTCTATAAAATACTTTGTTCCATTATTGATGGTCTTTGAGTTTCTTTCGTAAGTTTTTATATTGTGAATTGGAACTTCTCGATAACCCTAGAAATGAAAATTGGAATACTGGGTAAAAAGCACATTAGTCATTTATCACTGATTTCTTAAGCTTGGCATTACAAACATAGAGAACTACTCTGAGTTCTTCATCCGCTTATTTAATTTCATTTTTATAAGCCATTCCTCTTAAATACTTTGTATTCCTAGACTTCCTCAAATGGTACCCCGGTTCAGCATTCAGCAGTTCAACCCCAAAGGTTTTCTGCAGAATACTAGAATAATATGAAATATAAAAACACATCAGCACATTTAGTATTTAGCTGACCTTTGGACTCATGGGTTAGATCTGAGGAAGGTAGAAATCAAAAAAGCTATTTGATCTCCAAAACTTTATCTGTTGATCAGCCCTGAGAAGGACACTGACAGATATCCAGTTTATTGATGGCAGGTGTTAAGTGAGTTGTTTTTCTTCCGTTTGAAGAGGAACTCAGGTTCTATAATTGGTTTCATTCAAACTATTAATTTTTTTATGTGTAATCAGGCAAGTTTAGATCAAATTAGAGAAAGGCATCTTGAGTCAAAGCCAACTTCAAAGTTTATATAGATAAGAAATCCTTATTGTCTTCTTGGACTAAATTATTTTAAAATACAGGCAATCTGGGGTCCAGTGTCTATGGCCGGGCTTCAGGAGGCCATTGATGTTCCCAGTAATTTTATGTCAAAGTTGGTATGTGACTTTATTTCTCTAAGGATAATCCATTGGAAACCTGTGGGTTTTTCTCTCTGGTAAGAATTTATGAATATATTTTTTAGAAGATTTATTTATCCATTTTAGAGAGAAAGAGCAGAGGGGAGGGGCAGAAGGAGAGCGAGAAAGAATCCCAAGCAGACTCTGCGCTAAGCACAGGACCTAATGCGGGGCTTGATTTCATGACTTAGAGACCATGACTGAGCCAAAAGCAAAAGCCTGGATGCTCAACCAACTGTGCCACCCAGGCACCCCAAAATTTATGAATATTTTAAGTGGATGATGAAAATTAGTATAGTAGTTTTAAAAAATCTGCCTTATAAATCATACTAACCTAGAATACAGGTAAAATATACAACAATTTCTTTTAACATAATACACTTTTTAATGAGTTGCCCCATTGTCCTTTTCTTAGTACTGTTCTTATTTTCCTTTTTCTTTTGTAGGGCTGAGATGCTTCTAGATCAGTACCGAAAGAAGTCAAAGCTCTTCCGTACTACAGTTATCCTGGCCCCACTAGGAGATGATTTTCGCTACTGTGAACGCATAGAATGGGATCATCAGTATAAGAATTATCAGCTGCTTTTTGATTATATGAATTCTCATCCTGAGTATAATGTTAAGGTAATTTGAAAATATTTAATTATGATACTGTATTTGAAGTTGAGCCTTCATTATTAAATGAGGCTAAAACACAACAGCCTTAGTTTCTTTGTCCCACATCCCAATATTTCCTAGAATATGTAGTTTGTATGTAAGAGTGTAGTTCTTAAAGCGGAAAATTATCTAGTACTATAGTTGCATTTCTGAATTTGTCCCTTTCCCCCCATTCCTACAGCATTAAAGAGACTTTACTTTTATGTAGTTGTAAATATGCACCTACTAAGTTGTGATCTTCAGTTTTCAGTGATGTCCTGTTTTTCTACCAGCATCAAAAGTTTGTTTCTCTGACGGCTGCATCCTTGTGATTTTAGTAATGTGACGGGCAATGCAGATGAACGTGTCATGAATTTTGCAAATTAATGTCTTGTGTCCAGAGAATACACTAGCATCTTTCTTAGTTGAGAAGACTTCCAAAATTAATCATTTACCTGTAGTTCTTTCTCTTTTTTTTTTTTTTCCCCTTTTGGAAAATTTTGATTGTACCCTAAAGTTTTGAGAACAACTTAAGTACCCTTCCCCTGACCCCTGCCTCCCCATATCCATAGCTCAGCTACCACATTGATCAACTCGAGGTCACTCTCACTTCAGCTGTGCCTCACTGTCCTCTCTCACCCTCTCCCAGGGATTATTTTGGAGGAAATAGTAGTCATGTAGTTTCATCTGTAACCATTTCATTATGTATCTAAATGATAAGGACTCTGTTTAAAAATACAATCATAATGCCACTATTATATCTAAAAAATTAACAATAATTCAATATTATCATATATCCAGATAGATTCAGATTTTCCTGATCACATACAGGCATTTTTTTTTAAGCATATGTTTCATGAGTCAGGATTCAAACAAGAGTCCTATATTAGACCCTATATGAGAAAATTACCCAATGTGTTTATTATATTCACATACTAACCTATGAGACAGTAGAATATTTGTGGAAATACTACAGAAAGGAAGAGATGTTACTGTTTAGGAAATTAGAAAGCTGATGATAGGTCACATTTTATGTAGGGAGAATTCAAGTTTATTAAGTAAATGTAAATAATATTAAATAGTTAAATAAACTTAAATAAAATGCCAGGTGTATTCAAGATACTTACAACTGAATTTCTACCAAATTATGAACTTTAGGTCTATGTTTAAATCATCTCTATAATCTCCTCAAAGATGAAGCTGATACACAAACATTTACTTAGGGGGTGGCATATGCAGATGGGTATTTTATCCCTAAGTACATCTTCCTAGTGAATGGTTTTGAGATCCATAAAAGGATCTACCACTCATTCTAAAGAATTAAAGTACTGATTTTTGTATTTTACCTATTTCCTTCTTTGCCCAGTAGGGCAATTTGTAAAGTCACTTTAAAAAGCATCCAACTCTTGATTTTGGTTCAGGTCATGGTCTCAGGGTCACATACTTAAGATTTCCTTCTTGTATCATTTCAAAAGAAAAAACACTAACCATGATGATAGAAGGGAAAATAAGGTTACTTTTGTAAGACTTGGCAATGATTTGAATGAGCGGGGGGGGGGGCAGGGGGAGGGGAGACAGAGACTCTCAAGCAGACTCTGTACTGAGTGCGGAGCCCAATGTGAAGCTCATTCTCATGACCCTGAGATCATGACCTGAACCAAAATCAAGAGTTGGATTTCTTAACCAACTGAGCCATCCAGGCGCCCCACAGTATATTCAATTTTAATACTGTATATTATCTTTAATATCCATTTGATAAATACATCACGATTTGTCCATTGTATTATTGATGGACATTTGGGTTGTTTCCAGTTTTTGTGTATTACAAATAAAGCCATTTTGAATATTTTGTGCATGTCTTTATATACATGTATGTGAATTTATGTGGGTATAAAATGGGATAGAAATTTTTGGTCACTGGGTATGCACATGTTCAACTTCAGTAGATATTGCCAAATGGTATCCCAAAATAGATGCACTAGTCATTGCATTGTATGACAATTTCAGTTGCTGTACTTCCTTACTCAGATTTTTTGTTAGGATTTTTTTTTCATTTTTATTTTTTTATGATCGATATGATGGTTTTATTTTATATTTCCCTGGTAGTTAATGAATTGAACCTCTTTTCATAAGTTTATTGCCATTTAGGTATCCTCTTTTGTGAAGTGACTATTTAAATCTTTTGATGACTTTTCCTTAAATTGGGTTGTCTGTTTATTTTGTACCATTTATAACTCTTTTATATATTTTGGTTTGAGTCTTCCTTCAGATAAAAGTTATGCAAATATTGTCTCCCACTATGTGAGCCTGTTTTTTAATTTCTTTCTTAATGCTGTCTTTTGATAAACAGAAATTCTTTGTTTTAATTAAATCTAATATAACAGTATTTTCCTTTCCATGTCATGTTCTGCTTAAGAAATTTTTGTTTATACCCCATAATTATGAAAATACGCTTCCTATGAAGCTGTCCTCCAGAAGCTTTATTGTTTTACCTTCAATATTTAGGTCTGTAATCTGTTTGGAATTGATTTTTTTGTGAATTGTATGAAGACAGGGATCAAGGTGCATTTTTGCCCATATGGGTATCTACCACCATTTATTGAAAAGACCAGTGTGCCCACTTTACTGCAGCATCATCTTTTTCATTAATTTTGAGTGAAACTATTTGTGTGGCTCTTGTATAGACTCTATTCAATTTTGTCTATTTAGTCTCGGACTGTCTTAATTACTATAGTTTTAGAATGGATCTTAATTTCTGATAGCATAAGTCTTCTAATTTTGTTTTCTTTCTCAAGATTGCATTGGTTTTCTTTATAGTTCTGTATAGGTTTAAGATCAATTTTTAAATGTCTACCAAAAAAAGTTGGAATTTTGATTGGCATTGCAATGAACCTATAGATCAATTTGAGTACCGTTAACTTCTTTACAAATATTAGGCCATCCATGAATGTGGTATATTCCATGTATAAAAATACAGTTGACTTTTGCATTCTAACCTTGTACCCAGTAACCTTCATGCATTTCCTTTCTTTCTGGAATTTTTGTCACTCAAGTGTTGGCTGCTTTGATTGTCCTTAGATACCTTCAAACAAAAGCTTTTTTTCTCTCTGTGGTTTATCTAGTATCTGTTCTCTGTAGGATGTTTGAAGTTATTTTGTCCAAGCCAGAAGCTTCAGTTTATTATTTTCTTTTAATGAAAGGAAAAACCCAAGTAAGCAATTGAATTTAGATGGCTAAAAAATTGACATTGTACCAACCAAGCCAGTCAGTTTCCCATTGGTCATCACTTATTTAACAATTTATGTATTTTTCTCATATGTTGCTCTGATAGAGGAGTTTGATTATGTTTAAGATTAAGGTTATGTTAAAGATATAATTTGTTGCCTTTTGAAGTAAAAAACATCTGCTTTTTTTTTGGTTATTTGGAATACGTACTTTGAGCTACCAAGAGACTATAGAAAAATTCACTCTTAAATAATTTCTTTTGAAACTACTCTAGGATAGATACAGGATTATATATCAGTCCTTTGAGATTGAATTAAATTTGTGAGAATGCTCACCAGGCTACTTAAATGAACTTTGCCTGGGGCAATTGCCAAGAAGGAAATACTTTCATCTTGGCTAATACCAAAAATTAGTTACAATATTCTAAAAGGGTACACTTTGTTGTTAATATTAACTCTGTAGCATGCCACAGTTCCCTAAAATCTGAAACTGAAGGGAATTTTTGTTATCTCATAGAAATCCCTTTTTATATAGATGAGAAAGTGAGTCAGAAATTTAGATTGTTGAATATTTTTTACTTTTATCAGTATACTTCCCTGAGCTTGTCTGTACTATTGGGCCTGAAGTTAATGCTGTATTTCTTTGCATTTGTGACCCTCATGGTTATACACACACACACACTTATATTCTGCTTCTTAGAATGTGTTAAGTGAGTAATAAATAACACTTAATTTTTGAGTACTTACTATTTGCTATTAACGTTTTCTTTTAGAGAGAGAGCATGCACTTTGGGGGTGCGGGGGCGTGGGGATGGGGAAAGGGAGAGAGAGAATCTTAAGCAGGCTCCATGCCCAGCACGGAGCCCAATGTGGGGCTCGATCTTATGACCCCGAGATCATGACCTGAGCTGGAACCAAGGGTCAGGTGCTTAACCAACTGGGCCATCCAGGCACCCCTGCTATTAACTTTTTAAAGTGCTTCACTTTAGTTAACTTATTTAATTCTCTGAACATTTTCTGGTAGTTACTATAATTATCCCCATTAGAGATGAGGAAACTGAGGCACAAATATATTAACTTGCCCAAGATACATTGTATTTGGTGAAGCCAAGATAAGACTAGGTAATATTGTTGAAAATTGCTTTTCTGTGATGTAAACATAAGGATTTAGAAATAATTATCTATTTTGCTGTTATAAAATTTATTGTGTCACAGGTACATGATAACTTCTATTTGTCTTACTAATATCATCATGTTTCCAGCTGAAATTTTGCCTTTGCAATAGAAAAATGATAGCTAAAACTTAGACCATTATTTCCCAGTTGTATTTCTAAGCATTTTACTTAGAACCCTATTAGCTGTAACACAGACACAGAGACAATATATAAATATGCTCAAAACCACATTGTTAGGTAAATGTTAGAGATGGAATTCAAACCAATGCTATCTGGATCCAGGTTCTGTGCTGTTCTTAACCACTCTTCTAGAGTGCTACTCACTGTTTTTAACTACTCTTTTTTTTTTTTCTTAAGATTTTATTTATTTGACAGAGACACAGCTAGAGAGAGAACACAAGAAGGGGGAGTGGGAGAGGGAGAAGCAGGCTTCCTGCAGAGCAGGGAGCCCGATGTGGGGCTTGATCCCAGGACCCTGGGACCATGACCTGAGCCAAAGGCAGATGCTTAATGACTGAGCCACCCAGGCACCCCTGTTTTTAACTGCTCTTAATTATTTTTCTGCCACATTGAATCAAAGTAGCTTTTAGTATGTGTGTGTGTGTGTGTGTGTGTGTGTGTGTGTGGTAGGAAACAACAAAAATAGCATCTTAATATTCAAAGAAATACATTCCCTGTTAAATTCTCTGTTTATCTCTAAAAAAACTGCCTTTTAATATCTGTTTACATGGTGTGGTATAATACTTCTTTTTTCCTTTGATTTATGGAATAGCTTGGGCTCATAAAAATGGATTTATGTTCTGGTAATTTAAATCATTAGTCAAAAGACCTTTTCATTTGAGCAGTCAACCTTGCAGTTCTTGTCACTCTTTGTGTTTTACTTCTATTCAATGTTACCTGCTGGTAGAGAAAGTCCATTTTTTTAATGACCTGCTGTTCTTAAAGTCTCCCTTATGAGAGCTCAAGCAAGGGGGATGGGGAGGCCAGGGGAGTGTATGTGCATATGACATATGAAAATACTTAATGGTTAACCAAACTGTATGTAAATGTTTTATTTTTGCTGCTTCCTCCCATCTTTTATTCATCTCTGAATTATTCTATTCCCTGACCCTTGCACACTTTGAAATTCTGGAGATTGGTAAGGTGTGTTCAGATCCACAGATTTGTATATCTCAGTAGTTCTTCTAAACCCTTAGGGGTGTAAGTTTTATTTTAGTTTAATTTGGGACCTGATGCAAGTGAAAGAGCTACTGTATATTTTTCCCCCTGCTTTTGAGTTTTGTAAAATCTGAGCTAGAATTTCATCTTAACTGGAAAGCGCATCTTAAATATTTACTGTTAACTTTTCCTTTTAGTGCTAGAAGTAATTTTAAGGTAGAGATGAATAAGTGTCACTTTTTTTTTTATTAGATACAGTTTGGGACTTTATCAGATTATTTTGATGCACTGGATAAAGAAGATGTAACCATTAGAAAGAATAGCCAATCCATGTTCCCTGTTCTAAGTGGAGATTTTTTCACTTATGCTGACCGAGACGATCATTACTGGAGCGGCTACTTTACATCCAGACCCTTCTACAAACGAATGGATAGGATATTGGAATCCCATCTAAGGTACAAAATTTACGTTTAGAAACCTACATTAATTATTCACCTTTTTTATGTGATCATAGCACATAGCATAGCATAGAGTTTTGCATAATATACAACATGTATGCAGTATTGGGATGTGTTTAATGTAATTGTGAAATTTTAATGCAATCAGAGCTATGTCTCCAGTGCATAATCAGATTATTATATGGGCTTTTGTTCTGAAAAAAGCAGTTTATCTGATTAGACTTTCTCCTGTATCTTATGTTTTATATGTTTCTAATTAATTACTGGTATTGTTTGCACACCGTGATAATATCCAGTGGCATTGTTATGTGTGTCTGCAGGTCAGTAGCCAGACAGACTAAATTGCTGGAAACAAGCAAGGGTCACAAGGAACAAACAGGGCCTCTCTGTGGCTAAAATGTGGGCCTCAAAGTACACAATCTAAAACTAATGTATTTTATATGTGGGAGAACTTCAGAGGCTCCACCTCAGTTCTTATTTATTGAAACATATTTCTATAGGTGTGATTCTCTGCTTAGAAGAGCAAAACTTGAAAGAGATGAGAACTGATGGCGGCAGAGTGATTGGCTGAAAAAGCATAGTGACAGGGAGAAAGCAGAAAATTCAGGAGAAAACAAAAACGCTCTAACCAGCGTTGTCCAGTAGAACTTTCAGTCACTGTCCAACAGAACTTTCTGCAGTGGTAGAAATCTTCTGTTTCTGTTTTCTGCACTGTTTAGTATGGCCACTTGCCACATGTAACTGTTGAGCACTTGAAATGTGACCAGTGTGGCTGAGGAAGTGAACTCTTAATTTCCTTTAATTTAAGTTGATTTAAATGTAAATAAATAATCACACGTGGCTAGTAGCTATCTTTGTGGGTCCTGTTGCTTTTTGGTAAGGATGAACCACCCTGGGGGCTCCTGGGGCTCTCTCTATGTGTGTGTAGCGTGGGAGCTTAATTCATTTTCATGATGAGTTCACTTTCAGCTTAGTTCAGATCATGAATTCATGATGATTAATTTTCATGATGAATCTCAGTATTAAAAATAAAAAGTCATGTTATATCTACCTTCTTCTCCGTACTGGTAGAGATAGTACATTTTGGAAAGCCCTTTTATAAAGATCATGAATTTCTCCCAGAGTTGTACTCTGGTATAGTAGTGTGTGTTTTTTTTTTTATTTTTACTGTTTCATGCTGTCAGCATTATTTCAAAAGCCTGATCTTTGCCTTTTTTTTGGGATATTCACAAATGTGCCAGATGGATACATATTCCTGTATTTGTAATAAAATAGTATTTCTATATTAGAGAGATTGATGCATTCTTGCCCAATAGAATATTAATTCTCTATTATGTTACTCTAAACTACCTATGATAAAAACAGAGAAAGTACTAAGTAATGTAGAGATTCTTTTGGACTACTGCACTTTTTTAAAAGTGTCAACTATTTTTTAGTGACAAAGAGTTACAAATATTGATTCAATTTTAATTTATTGAACATATTTAAGGTGAAGTACTTAGTGTGAGTAATAATATATTTTGAAAATTCTGCTTTAAAATAAAATGACAAAAAACCATATAATAATGACAAATTTCAAAATGTAATCAACTTACTTGAAAATAAGTTTATTGTCTGATTATAGATATTTCATCTTGATGCTCATTTGTAAAACATTTGGATAGGATAGAAGAGTATAAAGAAGAAAATATTTTTTAAACCCCCTTTTTACATTTTGGGATATCTATATGTATAGGTACTCTTTGCAAAGCCAGGAATATGTGCTATGGGTATAGATGAACATATATACACAATTTCTTTAATTCAAACTTAGTGTTTCTCCTGCCATGAATTTTAGAAAGATTAGAATTTAAAGGCAGAGATTATTTAGTATCTTCTAATTATTTCAAAATTTAAAACAATTCTTTTTTTTTTTTTGAGTACTTTAAATTTATTCTTTTCCTTATATTGTGATACATTTTCAAGCTGCCTTGGTTTTCTCTCCATCCTTCTTAATATGTTTGGCATAAAGAACCTTCTTAAACTTTTTACTTCATCAAGCCATCTCTCTCTTTTTTTTTTAAGATTTTATTTATTTATTTATTTATTTATTTATTTGACAGAGAGAGACACAGAGAGAGAGGGAACACAGCAGGGGGAGTGGGAGAGGGAGAAGCAGACTCCCCGCGGAGCAGGGAGCCCCATGTGGGGCTCTATCCCAGGATCCTGGGACCATGACCTCAGCTGAGGGCAGACGCTTAACGCCTGAGCCACCCAGGCACCCCAAGCCATATCTCTTTTTTAAAGAACTTTTTCGAAACCTGTCTTGAACCATATCCTCTGATGAAAAAAATAAAGCATGAAAATGATAAGTCCCCATATTCTTGCTCAAAAACTACTCGTAAGCCCAAGTGTTTTTTCTTTAAAATAAACGAGAAGCGACAGCATATGTTTTATCACCTTTCAGTTTATATTGTTACTTTCCCTCTAGTTGTTGAATGTTCTCATTCAGCACAGAGACTAGCTGTTGTCACTGAGCTGTCAGGCCATCGCTTTCTGCCTCTCCTTCACTGTTAGTCTCCCACTCCTGTGACCATTTCTGCACCGTCTCTCCTTTAATGTATGTATGTGAGAGTGAATGGCTTTCTGGTGATGAAGTTCCTGGTATGTGTCTGGGCTGATCTTGGAGAGAAGAAAGGGCAGCAACTATTATCCACTTTTTACTGCTGTTTCGAGCTTTTTTTTTTTTTTTTCCACTATGTTATACATAAGTACACCTATCTCGCTGCCAGTGGGTACCGGCTTCTTTCCAGGACCATCTAGAACAAGCGTCCTTTATATCAATTTAGACATGATGTTCTCTGATGATTGATAATCTAGATATATTAGATGGATACCTAGATGGTTTTATAGGAATGTTTATTATCAATATCTTTTTTATCAATTGTGCTGAAATGTGGATTTTTTAAAAAATGCATTTAAAAATTGTATCAGTACCACGTATTTTAAATAGTAAATGTTTGTTTTGAAATAAGAATTAATGACTGTTTTATACAATTAGGGCTGCTGAAATTCTTTACTATTTCGCCCTGAAACAAGCTCAGAAATACAAGATTAGTAAATTTCTTTCATCATCCCATTACATGGCACTGACAGAAGCCAGAAGAAATTTGGGACTGTTTCAACATCATGATGCTATCACAGGAACTGCAAAAGATTGGGTGGTTGTGGATTATGGTACCAGGTAATATAATTATTAAAGAGTGATTATAAAACAATTTTTTTTTAAATTTTGGGTCACAGGCTTATATCTTTGATGAAATTGTTAATGTACATCAGACCATATCAATAATGACATCCCTTATAAGTATTGCTATAGAAAAACAACATCAATATTCAAAGCATTTTTCAAGAATTGTATTGAGAATGTACTAGCTGTCCTAACTTTTTATTGCAGTGCATTTCTGCAAATGGAGTAGTAAAACATTATTATAAAGCTGATTCTGTTTTCTCCCAAGTATAATGTGGTAATTGGGGTTACCTTGTTGACCAGGGATTTGGTATCAAATAAATCATAGCTATAATCCAAGGAGATAAAGAGCCATACTTGATTGTATAGCAGTTTAATTTCATCCTATTTCATATCCAGTTGTTCTCAGCCTAGAGTTTAGCCAGGAAGTAGAAGAACCTAGAAACTTTGACATATATAGATGATATAAGGAATTGGGATGAGAAGGGTTGGCTTGGGTATTGATATCAAAACCATCTTCAACTCTTAGAAGGTCTGTGAGATGAGTGAGGGAGGGGAAGCTCAGTTATTTTCACATTGCAGGATTGGAAACAGTGAGTACAGGCTTTAGCTCAGAACAGCAGGAGACTTTGTAAATAGTGCTTCCCAATAATCAAAAGGCTTACCTTTTGTGATAGTGAGATTTCCATCATCATGCCCTAGTTTGGGTAACCATTCATTAGGATCATTGTAGAGGAGATTCCTATGTTGGGGAAGGAGTTTTGACTATTATTTCATTATGGCTTAGTTATTATTTCTTCCAGATTTTTTTCCTATCAAAAATGGTGTACTTCAATAATATTTTAAAATTGTTAAAGTGTGCTCTGATTTTCTTATAATACAGATTTAAGAAGTGAACCTCTTTTTTTAATAAATGTTCTCTCCCGTATGTTAAAAGTGTATACAACATATAAAGTCATCATTACAGATTGATCCACAACTATATCACTAATCATTATAAGTGTTAATTAAAATTTTAGTTATAGTATTTTGACTGCCTTTCTAGATATTTGAAAAACAAATTCTTGAGGTTTCATTAGTTGACTTGAATCCTTGAAAATATATTCATGGTAGCATCTTGAATATCTTCTCAGTTTTCTTGTGGCAAATGTATTTGGCATCTGTTGAGGTTGAGCTGGGCTTAAAATGGAAAACATTCATTGGCTGATAATGATAATTGGTTTTTCTCCCACAGAAGGCATTTTTTAAAATAAGGTCAGATCCTCCATTTTTTTCCTTTTCACCTGCTCCTGTCTTCTTGGTTTATTGAATTTAAAAGTGAGGCTTATATTCAGAAAAGAGTTCCTAAGAGGAAACGAAGAAGTCATTCTCCTATACTGTCTACCTGCTCTCTCTCTGGCTGCCATATTGAAAGAGACTTGGGTACAGGTCATTGAGTTTTTGCAACTGAACATTTTCTATCTCATAACCTTTCCAGAAGGGCTGTCATTAGTTCCTCCATATGTTTGGTTATGCTTTTAGCTTATAAAAACATCACCATACAAAATTGCATCTTAGAGAAAAAAGACAATAATTCTCAAATTATACTTGACATTTGTAAATTTGCTTTGCGAGCACTTCACACTTCATTGAGAAGTCATACACAATTATCAAGTCATTAGCATAGACATTTTAAGTAGGAAATTTCAAAACACAAGTTAGAGAGTTATAAACAAAGAGGCAGCTAGCATTGGGTGCTCTCTTGTTCTTAGACTGTTGACTGTTTATTCAAATGTTGGCAGAAGTGTCCCTGTGAACAAGTGTATGAGTTCAGGATTGCATTTGGCTGCTAGTAATAACAACTTAAAACTGAATAAATCCTATCCTACTTATTTTTATGCCACGTGGAAGAAGTCTGCAGGTCCCCAGTTCAGGTATAGCAGCTCTACAGTGCCGACAGGGGTCCAGACCCTTCTAGCTTTCTCTTCTGCCATCTAAAGGCGATTCTTACTTAGAGTACTGCTCTCAACAGTAGATTGAATGTTTATATAATTATCACCTGGAGAACAAGAATACATCATGGCTATTTGAAGGTTAATTCTAATCATGGCATGAAAAAATGAATTAGAGGGGGACAGTGTTTGTGATGGATGTTCAGCCTAAAAGTGGATAATGGGGCTATGTGCAAGAGAAGAAATGGTAATGAGATCAGTTACAGAAATATTTAGAATTCTGCCTATTTCTATGTTGTAGTTAAGGTAGGTAGGAGAAAAAAATGAACAAAGGGTAAGTATGAGGGCCCATATGTATAGATCAAACTTCACTGACAAACATGATAGTATCTGCCTGAAACAGTAGTAATGATACCAGAGTAGAAAACTGTGATTTCTAAGTGATGGTCCGGTTCAGTGATAATAAAATACGGGCATGTTAGAAAATTAGAGGCTCTGGGAAATCCCACAATGATGAATTGTTGAAACATTAAAATTTTGCTTTACCCAATGTTTCCCAAACTTATTTACTGTGTTTAGTCTTGTTTTGCTTTAAACAGAATGGCTTTATGCATCCTGAGAAAGCATTTGGGGAATACACTACCAGTTCTTAGTGCTTACCTCGTTAGAAGACTGTGCATGTGCCTTTAGGATACAAACATTGATGTGTGGCATTCCCTCAGTTTAAGCTCCAGTGCACTGTAATACATATAAGGTTTTAGCTGATGGAGAACATGACTTTTTTTTTTTTTTAAGATTTTATTTATTTATTTCACAGAGAAAGAGACAGTGAGAGAGGGAACACAAGCAGGGGGAGTGGGAGAGGGAGAAGCAGGCTTCCCGCTGAGCAGGGAGCCTGATGCGGGGCTCGATCCCAGGACCCTGGGATCATGACCTGAGCCGAAGGCAGACGCTTAACGACTGAGCCACCCAGGCGCCCCTTCTTTTTTTTTTTTTAAAGATTTATTTCACAGAGAGAGAGACAGTGAGAGAGGGAACACAAGCAGGGGGAGTAGAACATGACTTTTATTCTTCAGGTTCTGACAGCCTAATAAAGATTGCCATATAGATAAAAATAAACTTAAATCGAGGGGCTTGTTCCTATAACTGAATTGTAGTCACTCATATTGTCTTTTAGTCTGGTGAAAACACTTGTTATCACCTAGGAAAACATTTGAATAGACTAAGAAACTTAGCTGGATGATGGCCTGAACTCACATGCAGAAGACTTTAACACTATGTATGTATAACACATTTGCATAGTTAATTAACTTACTGATTGTGATCACTTACATCTTTGAAAGTAATCTCAGTGCTCTGCAAAAAGAAGTTATTTTTAATTCTCTTAAACATTTTTTTGTCGTTGCATGCCAACAAAAATGTTCTTAACATGTAGGTCCAAAATTGCGTCCTGTATTGGGGAAAATAATATAATCACTCTATAAACATAATAGATTCAATGGCTGATTGAAAGCATGTTTAGCCAAGTTTTTCGACAGATTTCTTCAGTGGCTTTACTTAGGGTTACCTGTTCTATAAAGCTTTAAAGAAACAAGATGGAACTTGAAAAAAAAAAAAACCTTCAAATTCTTTTCCCACGTGTAGTGCTTCAGCAATAGTTGATACTGTACCAAGATTATATTCCAGAATTGATCTTGAGTAGGTTGATTCATACGCATCTCTTTGGTTCCTCAGACATAAAAGTACAATTGGAATACAATTAACAATTTTAATGACCAAGAAAAGTAACAAGGAGAAAGACAATTTCATTATCCAGACCTGTGAAAACTTTCTCTTTTTTTGAACAAGAACATGAAACTAAAGTCAACAAAATATTTATTTGAAGTTTTCAGGAATTTGAGTTTTTTGAAGTATGTATACTGAACGAATATTCTTGTGAGTGACAGTTAATCTCATGCTTTCTTTTGCTGTTTCAACATTTGTTAAAGAATTTTCTAAAGTAAAGGAACAAATCACTTTTTTGGTAACAAAGCCTTAAAGCTATTGGAGTGATCATGTTGAATATTCTTAGTATTTGGCATGATACTTGTAGAAAGTATCGGTAGTTTGATTAAGTTTACACGTTTCAGGTGTATACAGAAAGTTTTCTATTTTAAATGAATCCTTATTAGTGAAATCTTTTGACTAACTTTTTTTCCCTAAGTACTTAGTTCTGGGCAAAGAAGAGTCCGTTCATTATAGCTTCATTATAGGTTTCACTTTGTGAATACAGGATGATGGTGGTTTGGCCATTATTAAAGAAACTGAAAATATTGTATACTGATGTTTGAATTGCTTCTCAGACCAGTAAAAATTTTTGGTTCACAGACTCTTTCATTCATTAACGAATTTGAAGAAGATAATTGGATATTCTGCACTACTTCTTATTTTGAAGGACAAAAACTCGTACAACTCTTACTCTTTTGATAACCTCCTAGACATGGTTAGTTGCTACCTTTTATATTATCATAAAAATGTGTGATTCTTTTGTTCTTGATTCAGAAAAGGGGGTGAGAAGCTGAGTGAAAAGAAACCTTGAAAAATAGTGATTTCCTTATACATGATTTGAAAGAATTTGTATCATTTTATATGAAATACCTATGTGTTCTTCTTTCCTGTAAGTGTGTCTGTATTTGATTTATGGTGTATATTTTGTTCTGACTAAATCTAAGCATGAAAACTAATGAACTTCATTATGTGGAACATACAGCTTTGAGAACACTATTAATATGGTACTGTAAGGTAACTAGACGCTGTAATTAGTTATTTTGCTTGGCTTTAATTAGAAGCCCCTGAATTGTCTTCTGGTTTCAGGATGAGCCCATGGAGTGCTGTGAGCAGTGCTCAGATGTGTGTAACAGCAGAGGAGCAGTTGAGGAATTAAAGACTAGCTATTAGCCCCACCTCTGTACCTGATTGCATGGGCCTGAAAAAGTTGCTTAACATCTGTGAGCCCTCATTCATTTATCTGTTAGATGGGATGATTCCTGCCTTGGCTTGTATCGTGGTTAGGATCAGGGGAGCCAATAAAACAGAACATACTCTGAGAGGAAGAATATACTATCCAGCAGCAAGGAATAACAGTGGGAAAAAATGGGGGATTGCAAACCTCTTTAGACTTCGATTTGGCAACTCAGATGTCTTAAAACTGTAATATTTTATCATTAGAGTCTATTGTGAGCCATAGGCTTTGGAATTTTACATGTAATTGGAACTTACACATCTGGAATCAGAGATAGTAAGTTCAGTATTTTCATATACTGATGTTTGCAATCAAATTATGGTTACATATTTTCATGTTGAAGTAAAAAATCCAATAAATGGACATACATTGCTTAAGGATATGAAACCTGTGATACAAAGGTAAAATAGTGAAACTTTTTGCAAAATGATCTTTAGAACTTTGATTTACTTGGTTCCTAATTGGACTCTAGTAGTCCGTGTAACACATGCCGTACTGAAGTCTAAAGACACACCCATAAAAACGCACACACAAAAGAATTACTTATTTTGAACTTTGATGGACCTTTATGTAGCTAGAAGGAGGACACCATTGTGTCCTTTTTAGGATTTTTGTAAGTACTATTACATAGCTAGTTTTGAAACTTAAGTTTTAAAAGTAAAATAAAAAATTTTTGTTTATTTTTACAGGATTTGAAACAAAACTCACAAGGTTCTCTACCACAAAAAACTGTAATAACACTGAGTGCAGAGCCAAGGTAAATACATAATTTCTCATACACTTTGCTACTGTTCTGACTTGACTTTTTTGCTTTTCATGTTTCTTTTCCCTAGCCAGGATATACTTTGAGGCAGTATTTTGTTTAATAAATTTATTAATTTAAAAAAATTTTTGAAGAAATGGATTTTTCTCCCATGACTGTCATGTTCAATGTTAATAGTTAACACAGTGTTTGATACATTAATTGCTGAATGAACAATTACAACTATTTTTTTTTACAGATATTTGGTATGGGATCATAAATATGATTTATGATTATGTTTTTTCTTAACCCTTTGTTAACTTATCTTTTCATTGATCCCTGATCCCATTTTTAAAATGAAGGAAGAAACTTAATTATGAAAAGTTCCTACTATAAATTGTTTACTAGATAACTGTCATTGTGCTGGCCAGACTGTCTCATTTTGGCATTGTGGATTTATGTTAAGGCAAATGGGAAGGGTGTTCAGTTGACCTGAAAATGGGGCGATTGATTGGTGGCTGCCTCTGATTTATAAAAAAATGTTTTGTGTTTTTATTGGTAATCATTTAACCAAGTCTTCTGTTTTAAATGACCAAATATCACTAGGTCAGTACCCACTATCCCCAGATACACACTATATTCTTATATAATATAACTTTTTGCTATCTAAATTGAGAAATTTAGTATGTACAAATTGTAGGATAAAAAAATAATTGTAAAGGATAATTCATGATTTTAGGTATTCTTTATTAGAATTATTTTAAAATAAATGGAATCAAAGTATTACAGAAAATTTACAATTGCTAATAAAATTGACATTTTGGTTACTCAGAAAATAAAGCCTTAGTTTGCTAAATCTCTTCAGGAAGTAGAGACTTAAAAATGTATACAGCTCATACCTTAGAACAAGAAGACAGGTATTTTTTAGTAACACCAAAGTATCACTAAAGTAATGGTAAAGAAATCCTACATTTTTTCTTTTGGCCAGAAAAAGAAGGGATTAACTGGAAAAGACAGTTTAAGTCTCAACTTTGAAGTCCTGTTGCAGGCTTAACAGCTTTCAGGTTGCCAAGTCATAAGAGAGTAATGATACTCCCATTACAAAATGTTTTCTTTGTCTTAAAATAGGTAATATTTTGATGTAGTTGAGGTTGTGTGGCTGTTCCTTAAATATTTTGCCCCTAATAAACTCTGGTATTAGGCATAATCCCCCTTTTTCTATTTTGGTAGGGGAAGATCTTTGTTTCTGCTGACTGTAAGAATGCCTTATGCTTGCTATAAATAATTTATGCCCCTTCCCCACCCCATTAGTCTTCCTCTGGGTGAATGGTAGGGTGGGTGGGATGGAGCCCTAATGGATTACAAACCCTATGGCTTTTCTTCTTCCTCTATTGTCCTTGCTTTAGCCAGGAGTAAGTGGTATTTTAGCTCTACTTACGCTGGAGGAAGAAAGGAGATCCAGGTGTATTAACTAAGAAGAAATATATTTTGAGCTTTAATATTGAGGAGTTTTAATTATACATCAACGTAAATAGCATTTTTGGGACTATTAGTAAAATGATTGCTTTCTGATATTTCCTTTTAAACAGTTTGTATTTAAATAGTGTTCTTCATCTTAATATTACTCCTTCACAGTTCTTTTCTACCAAATGTCAGTGCTACTACTGTTTCTGTAGTTAGGTGAATTGGGAGTACTTAGGATTGTCAAGTTCTTATTTGTATCTTTATTATCTGTTTTGTACTTGAGGACCTCATGAATAGAACTACTTATACTTCTGGTTTTAAAATCTATATTTTACTTGTTAGCCACAAATAATCTGAGCTGATCTCTCAACAAAATCAGAGAAGAATGGAGGAATGACAGTGGCCTTTAAAATGGAAGAATTTCATAGTTTTATTTAGCAGATACTGAAAGTGATATCATTGCACTTCTCAGTCTTGAAGTTGAAAGTTTCAGGAGTATGGTCATGAGTCTTTCTCATGTTCTTCATGAGTCCCTATATAATGATCTAAGGCTTAGCATTATTTTGGCGATAAGAATAATTCTTGTTTGAGCAACAATTTATTAATCTAAATAAAACATGCATTCTCAGTGAGAGAGACATCCTCCTTAGGAGGGTAAAAATTGGTTCTTGGGGAGTTTGAAAAAAAGTATTTTTTTAAATATATAAAGCATAAAAATAGTACTCAATAGTACAATAACAGATATACTTTTAAGTGTATTAAAATTGTATGGGGGGATGATTAACAAAAAATGTCTAAAGAGTCTTTAAGGAGTTATGTGAAAAGTCTGAGAAATACTGATCTAACTCACACAATTTCATAGCTATTTTTTTTAAGTTTTTATTTATTTGACAGAGAGAGACACAGCAAGACAGGGAACACAAGCAGAGAGAGTGGGAGAGGGAGAAGCAGGCCTCCCGCTGAGCAGGGAGCCCGATGTGGGGCTCGATCCCAGGACCCTGGGATCACGACCCAAGCCAAAGGCGGACACTTAATGACTGAGCCAGCCAGGCGCCCCTAACTCACACAATTTCAATAATACATGTAAATGAATTTGATCATGCTGTTTGGCAACATTAGTTATAGCTATAACCTAACATAAGTTAGTTTGGGAGTCTTTAAAAAGGAGTGGCTAATCTGCTCATGGGGATGTGGTACATATCTGTGAGCCTGATTGAGTTCACAAGGTTGGGTAAGCTCTATAGTATATGCATTCATAGTCTTTATGTGGAAAGAAGGTATAATTGAGAGTTAAAAGTTAGGGCACCCTGAACAAGTCATAAATTTTCTAGCCTTAAATAATCCTTTAATGTACCGAGGTGTTTCTTTTCCTCCAAGGCCCAATTGTAAAAAAAAAAAAAAAAAACTGTAGTACAAAGATTTACAGGATTAGGGACGTGGAGGACATAGAGGATGGAAGGTAAACTCCTAGGACAGGCAGGGATTTCAGTCTCCTTTCAGTGTTTAGTACTTGAGGCAGGATGGAAGCAAATATCACCACAGCACAGGTCGCCAAATCATGTGTTTTGACAACGTGTGAAGGAACTTTTTTTTTTAAATGTGGATAATTTGAAATGCCACGGAGTATACAACTAAAATCTGAAACTTCTGTAAATCTGAAAATTTAATTTTTCAAGTAGAAAACTTTTAGTTTGAGAGCAATTTATTCAAACCCATTACAAATTTACCATTAAGTGCTTTTAATGTTTAACAAGGCGTTTATTGGTAAGGGATTTGGGGCCAGAAAAAAGAAGGGATTAACTTCAAATGAAACCACCAACCATGTGGAGACACAAAAGAAGTCCTTGTTTTTGGGGCTTGGGTGACTTTAGAGTATCAAACAGATATTAAAAGTACTCAGTTCCAGAAAAGGCACTCAGTCCCTCCATTGTCATGTGCTTGTTGTAATGGTTCTTCCTGGATGGCTGCCCAGCACCTCTAATTTAATTTCCTCTTGTTTTCTCCATGTGTGCTTTCTTTTTGGATCCTAATCTTTATTAATAGCATCATTCTCTTTTTGGTTGTCTAGGTGCTGAAAAATAGTCTTTATATGGAAAGCAGGTACAATTAAGAGTTAAGAGTTAGGACACCCTGAACAAGTCATAAATTTTCTAGCCTCTAGAACCCACTTTGACTTCTACCTTTTCTTGTTCTTTTAAGTTTCATCAGCTGGAAAGTGTTTTGGATTTGCCCCTCTGCTCACCTCTGACATTCTTCGTCTCCTGTCTTCCTATTACTTTCTGGTTTTAAGGCCTCTATTATGATTTTTTTTTTTAATGTTTTACTTGAACTACTGCAATGACTTCCTGCTCTTCTGTCTTCAGTTTCTCTCTGCCCCTAATTTATTGCATGTAGTTGTCACAGGAATCTACCCATAGCGGAACGCAAGAAAGACACCTGGGTGGAAGCAGCAAGGCTTCTAGGACCTAGCCTCAGAACTCCTAGAAGGTCCTTTCCACTACATTCTTAGTGAAGCAAGTCACTAGCGTCAGCCAAGATTCAGGGGGAGGGAATTATTCTCCATTACTTGAAGGGAATGATGGCAGTCATCTTTGGAGATGGTCTACCACAGTTTATCCACTGGCCACTACAATTCACATACAATTCACCATGTGCACAATATTCCACCTCCTCCCATGATGCCAAAGTGCCATCCCATTATGGTACTGGCCTCAAATTTTCATCTAAATCAGATCCAAAATGACTCAATCATGTAACTGGGAATTGATGTTTTCTTATTTCTCTCAGTATAATAATTATTTGAAGTTAATTCTGCTAGACTGTAAACGCCTTGACAGTAGGAACTATTTCTTTTATTTATTTCTCCCACCATGCCTGTGGAATTGCAGTCAACATAGTAAGAATTGAATAAAGACTTGTTGAAATACAATTAATTACTGATTGAAGAGACTATTAAACTTCAGACACCAGATATGCGTAGACATTCTATGTGAAGATGTGGTATCCTGGTATATCTTCTCTCCAAATAGTTCTTTCATCTAGTATTTGGAGTTTGGATGCCAGAGGGCTTCTGAATACACTAAATAATACTACAAGCAAAAATAAATAACAACTCAAAGCTTTGAATTTGCTCAACATTTGGACAACTGTTCATTGGAGATTATAGAGTTTCATACCATGGGACCTGAAAAATTTTAGGTTGCCTCTCAGCATCATTGCATTCTTACAGAATTACCTTTGTTGAGATTGCTTTCTTGAAGGCTCTTTAGAATGGGTGGGTTCAAAAGATACTCCCAAATATCTAAATGAGTTGACTTGATCAGATGACTTTTTTCGTTTTTAGATTTTATTTAAATTGAAGTTAGTTAACATACAGTTTATTATTAGTTTCAGAGGTAGTATTTAGTGATTGATCAGTTGCCTATTACACCCAATGCTCATTACATCAAGTGCCCTCTTTAATGCCCATCACACAGTTACCCCATCCCCCCCACATCCCCTCCAGCAACCCTCAGTTTGTTCCCGGTAGTTAAGCATCTCTTGTGACTTGC